TGGTTGAATGATTGGCTGGTTGCGTTCATTAATTGATTGATTGATTGATTGAACGGTTAGATAGTTGGCTGATTAGTTGGTTGGTTGATTGGTTGATTGATTGACTGATTGATTGATTGATTGATTGACTGATTGATTGATTGATTGATTGATTGATTGATTGATTGATTGATTGATTGATTGATTGATTGATTGATTGATTGATTGATTGATTGATTGATTGATTGATTGATTGATTGATTGATTGACTGATTTGTTGACTGACAGGTTGATTGATTGCTTGCTTAGTTTGTGGGTAAGGAAGCACGTAATGGATATCTACTGTGGATGTTGTTGTTGTTGTTGTTGTTATTGTTGTTGTTGTTATTGTTGTTGGCGTCACTGCCTAATTCCTAAAGTTATGACAGGAATCGAACTATAGACTATTAGACTAGAGGCCATCTATTACCTCAGCTACGATGTTCTCCTGCCAAACCTTCTGATTCTGTTTCATGATGATGAGGCCGCACGTGACGTCAGACACAACGAGGTCCATATCCGACAACAAGGTCATCAACAACTCCGACAATTCTTTGTAGGAGTTCTGTTTTGTCGTAATTTTTTGTGGTTGTTGTTGTTGTTGTGGTTGTTGTTGTTGTGGTTGTCGTTGTTGTTTTGTTGTGGTTGTTGTTGTGGTTGTTGTTGTTGTGGTTGTTGTTGCTGTTGTTGTTGTTTTGTTGTTGCTGTCTTTTTTAGATGTTTTTACATGCTGTTGCTATTGATGTTAACGTAGCAATGTCATCTTTGCCAATTCAATAACCTTACCGATACTATAATTACAATTTCAAATATAAAACAATCAACAATGTGATTCATTTCTTTAGTAAAGATAAAGCCTCAAGAAAAAACTCTATTGATGTAATTAATCATTGATGACTATAACAAAAGCAATGTCATCATTAATGTATTTAGCGGAATAGAGTTGATGTAATTGATAAATTTAAAATATTCCAGCCCAACCCTTTTTAGATTGTTGCTACGACAACATATTTCATTGAAATGGCAAGACCTTTGTGGGATTATAATAAATTTTAATTGCCATTATCATTACTAATTAAACGTCATTTTACTCGTCTTATTCATCATCATCATCATCATCATAAACTTATTCAACATCGTCATCACTATCATTTCATTTTGCATCATCATCATCATCATCAACGTCATCATCATCATCATCATCATCATCATAATTATTATTATATTAATCTCACATTCAAATTAAATAATTATTGACTAAATCATCATCATCATCACTTATCATTAGTATCATTACCAAGTTTAAGCTGTTCATTATCATTGATATCATCATCATCGATCTTCATCGTCTGAGTTGACAAAACAACGAAAAATAAATTAATATAAAAACAATGAGAACCTGTAAATAACTAATTTATTCCCATCAACAGCTACTCTGTTATTATTGTTATTGTTGTTGTTATTGCTATTTTTATTGTTGTTGTTGTTGTCATTTACTAGAGAAATGCTGTGATTATGAACGAGGTTCTTGTTCTCTATGGACGCATCCTCAGAAGATGGATTGAATGAAGAAGATGAGAAGATGAAATTACTATAAGGAGTTGTTCTAAAATTAGCAACTATGGGCGGAGCTTTCTTGAACTGACAAATTATCAAAAGTTTAAGCAGCCAATTGCAGATTAGGAAACCTGAATGTTGAGTTATTGATTTTAATTTTACAATTTAAATCAATGTATTTTAATCATAATAAACTCTGAAATGTGACTAATGTAGTTATAACAAAATGTAAAATTATGGAGCAAAACCGTAAAATAGAAAAAGTTCTAGGAAGATAACAATAAAAAACTATATATATAGCTATACTATAACTAATCTAGTTAGTTAGAACAAATACAAAGCATAAGATATAAAATATTTCACAATTCATGCAACAAAATCATAAAATATAAATAGTTTTGTGAAAATAACAATAAAAAAATCCTAAATGTCAAAAACTCACTGGCAGCAGAAGATAATAGGATGTATTTGTTTCTGTGCTGGATGTTGAGGACGAACCAAACGATGGAAAATATCTGAGTGAACAACTCCAGTGCCAACAGAACTGCAAGATCACATGAAGGAAAAAATATAAAATTATAAAAATGGAATTTTGTAAAAAGTTATTTAATAATTTAATGAAAAATATGGCCAAAATCAGAAATAAATATAAATATCAAAATGAAAGTTTCAACCAAAAACATCAAAATCAATAAAAATACACTTAAATACATTAAAAGCAGATCATATTAATAGAGCACAAATGATCAGAGCAACAATAGCAACAACAACAACAAAGACAGACACCCAAAAACACCTAATCTGATATAAAGCAGCAAGTAAATTTTGGATCTGGAATGAACTTTGACCGGGCCTCCTCTGAGACTGACAATGGCAATGAGAAACTCAAACAAAAAGCTGCATGTGAAGATGGCAATCAAACTGTAAAGCAGATCTTTTGTTGTTATTAACCAGTAGAACTCGTTTGGCAGGTTCACACAGATGATAGTGCTTGTTATCAAACTGATTCTGGTTAGAAGAAAATGCAACAAAATAAAATACAATAAAAAACTTATGATAACTTAAACTTTCATGTGGATTTGTTGAGTGTACTTGAAATTAGTTGAAATTTCCAAAACATACAGTTGCATAAAAATAAAATAAACAAAGCACAATTAATTTTGTGTGATTTTTAGATACTTTTTAACTCTACTCAGTAATTAAAATAAATTTTATTTTGCAATAACATGGAATATATATTAGATTAAGTCATTAGGATTAGGATATAGTACACAACACACAGGTACAACTGATACCACCAACATGAATCACAAAATTTAAATTAAAGTACAAGAAAATATCATTAAAAAGACCAGATAGTAAAATTAAATATTAAAATAATCATATAATGTTATCTGGCTATCAGTTATTTAAAATTTAAATAAATATTTTAAAAAATGCATATAAAAAAATAAAAAAAGCAAAAACTAACGAAAGGAGGTGAAAAGTGAAGAGTACAATGGCAGGAATGAAGAGATCGTCTGACGCCAACTTCCAACGGCGTTTGAAGAGAATTAATGCAGGCATCAGTTCGTCTTGCTTCAAATATTTTTTTTACTTAAATTTCCTTTTCAAAATCCCCAAACAAAAACTTATTTGCACTCTGACTGGCTGTTCAACACCGAAAAGCTGCCACTATCGTCAGCCAACAAATGCAGACGAAACTGAAAAAACTAGCATATTCAATAAAAGAATAAACTAATAAATATTACGCCAATGACCGACTGAATTTGAAATGCCAAAACGCATATAAAAAATTTACAAATTTACATTTTAAATTGATTTTAAATGCTAAATCGTTTCGGGTAAAATGTGGAACTGTCTTTTTTGGTTTTATCAGCTATATAAATGTTTAAATTATCTAATGTTAATTATTAGCTGATTTTATTTTATTATGATTTACTTGTAAATAAAACTATAATATTTTTATTTAATATAAATAAACTTTTTCGCAACTATATTTGAAATAGACCAACATCAGATTGAAATTAAATGATCATTGTAAATAAAGATGGCTAGTCCCAAGAAGTTCAGTCCGAGCGAGATATACGACCTGACACCGAGCGAGAGAGAGGTTTTGGAGGCCAGACTGAAATTAAGAAATGATTTGAAAAAAGAGTTTCAAAAGAAAGTTACCAATCCTTACCGCGGAGTCGGAGGATACATTGTACGAGGCATTAGTTTTGATTTTGACCTTGTCCCTTCATTTCATTTTAATTTTTATAATTAAAATATTTGTAGTCTTAAAACCGGTACTTTTAGTAATCATATATAAATCGTCTGCTGCTGCTTCAGATACAATATATAAAGCTCCATATAAAAGCAGTGATTAGTGATTGATTGTCTTGCATAGTAATCTTAGTTAATCATTATGCTTCAGTTAATCAACCTGTAGCAAATACTGTCAAAAACTCAGAGATTATCATACGCCATGCGTGTGCTTGTGCGTGCATTAAAACTAAAAAAGTATGTGTGTACGTTGTGTGGTGTCGACAGTAGAGCTTTTGTGGCAGAACAGTGCAGAATAGTCTGTTAATGACTTAATGTTAAGTTAATTTAATAATTTTAATACTTAATTAATTGAATTTTTTTTCATTCTCTGGAATTAGAATACCAATAGAGAACAGATTCTCCAAATGCCATGCTCCTTGTACTTATAAATAAATTATAGACATACCTTTTTATTTATTTACGTATATTTTGTCTGATACCATATAAAGGACAAACATATACATATTGGACTCAGCTTTTTTTTCAGCACAATTTTTTTTGTGTGTTTGTGTTTGTTTTGCATTGCCTATCTATCTAATAAATCAAATATCTATATGTATTAATAAAATTAATTATGCCTGGGCTTTTAAGAATTCATTTATCCACAGTTGAAATAAATAACATTTCATACATATTAATTGGCACTAATGCTAGATTCTGTTGAAGTTAATGATATGCTTGATGAATTTTTTCAATTGCAACCCAGTTTGATCCAGCTGTCCAGAGGTTTCTGTCCATGAAAGCCCACCACTACGAAATGTTCAAACCAACTCCTAAAAATTTTGCATTTGCATTCTTTGGTATGTTCCTACCAATCACACTGCTTGCTTGGAAGATGGAAAAAGATAGAGTATGTTTTGTGGCATGTTTCAATGAGTGATAAATTTATTGTTTTAATTTTTTGTTCCTTGAAGGTGACTCTGGATGAGAAGTGTCGAAGGGGTGAGATTGCATACAAAGACAGGTCATGGAAATTTGTGTGATTTCAAAACATTTCGAAAGAAAATATTTTTAACCTGATCATTAAACTTCAATTGATAACATTGATAAATAAACTAATACAAATATTATTTACAAACATCATGTCTCATTGATGAAATGATTGATTAAAAATAGCCTATTGCTTGAAAATTTCTAAATTTTTGACCACAACCCATTGCCAATTTTTCTTCCTGTGATATCATCAGTTCACGGATCTCTAACATGGCTGCTTCCATTTTAAATAACATTCTTCTATTAAATCTTCTATTGTACGTGCATGTGTTGATTGCAGTCTCATGGAATTGTAGTACAAGAAGCATTTGCATGATGTATATTATCACCAGCAATCAATTATCGTCTGCCTCTTAATTCCCTCTATTTAATTATTATATGATTCCCTCTATAAAAGATAATAAATGTGCGACTTCGATGTCTTTCTTGCTTAAATGTAAAGCTTATGATAAGGAGATTAGCGCAGGACAATTCCAGTTCGTATTTCAAATAAATTCTGGAAAAGTATTCACCATGCTGTTCTTTTTTTGTGATTTATACGGGAGGCCTACTTGTGGGTAAATGAACTATTTAAGTTCCAAACTTGAAAGTATTTACGAGATTGTACGCGCGTTTTAAACATTCTTAAAATTGTAGGAAATTTGTCTAGGAAAAGTTTTTTTGTAGAATGTCTAAAATTTGCTTTTTCTGAACTGCAATACACGACGTTAAAATTTTACTGACCATCTCAAAAAATTTTTTAAAAAGTTCAAACAGGCTTCAAAAAAGTTGGCAAAAAATATCTCACAATTCATCAATTTCTTAGTGTTGAAAAAATAAACCGCGGGGGTGAATTTCAAAATTTTTCCCTGGATCCGACACTGACCACAATGGCCGCTATACTGCAGCAACAGTGCAGAACAATGAACGTCAAAGAGACAACCACGAGAATAGGAATGAATAATTGCAAATGATGTCTGAATAGGCATGTTAAATAATTAGTGGGATAAATATAATTTATTTTGAATATGATTATAACTTGTTGAAACGTCACCTATTTTATTTCTACATATTCGCACATTTACTTCATTTTCTGCTTGTAATTTGTTAACAGCTTGTAAAGGGAAAAAACGATAAAATAGCAATTCAATATTTGTAATGACTGTTCATTGCGAACAATCCGGCTGCCCGTTTTTGACGCCATGATTTAGCTCTGATTTGATTAAACTAGCAAGTAAACATCTCAAAATTTATTTCAACATTACAATCAATGGTTTCGACGTCAAATTTTGTTTACATTTGGCTTAAAGTGTAAAATAATTAGTTTAGGTTATAAAATATTTGGAAATTATTTCATTTCCGAAAATCACTTTATATATAGTACCCGAAATAGATCAGAAAAACGTTTATAATGAGCAAAGCTACTAAAAAATTTGTTGAACCTGAGACCAAGGTGAATGGGAAGACTGACATGGAACGTGTCGGGTTCTTCAAGGAAATGGAATACATAAGTGTAGGCGACCCTTACGTTAAACCAGGTATATGTTAATTAACTTTAATATTATCTATGCTTTCAACTATAATGCTAAAATGGACGAAGTAAGTTACAATCAGACTTGATTAACAATATCTTTATCACGGCTTAAAATGTTTCCAGACTTTTGTTCATTGACCTACTTTTTAGTTTAGATAGTAAACTCAATTTTTACTGTTTAAATAGCTTCATTTGAAGCCATCTTAAGAGGAAAAAACTATTAGTGCTTACAAACATTTTCAGAGCAAGTATAGTAACACATAACATTTCAGATCCAGTTAACAAGAGAAAAAAAGTCCCGTGGATTACACAGGGAGGCAAAACAATAGGAGCCAAACAAGATGGTTACTTCGCACCTGAGTTCCTAACGCACAATGTTAAAACACCTTACACAACGCTGGATCAATATTATAGAGATAAGGAAAAACTGTCTAAAAAATTAGCTCTGGCTGGTCCATTTAGAAATGCTCCAATTCAAAAAATGGCGTTAGTGTTTTCATGCAATAAATCAGTTATAAGTAGTATTATTAACATTTTATTTAAAATTTTAAATAATGCATTTTATATATAAACCAAAGTATTTATTTGCAAAATTCTCCACAGCAGCTGCATTTTCACATCTTTTACAAACGACATATACGCAACGTCAAGAAGACTATTAATATTTACAACGTTCCACTTTTTTTTATACATTATAAGCAATATAGCAGACCAGACAAAATATCTTTTACCACATTAAATTAAAATTTTAATCTAAAACGAGCTTACATCATTTTACAAAGTTGTGGCAAAGGAAGTTTCTGTGCGACGATTAATCCGTCTCCAGAAGCAATGAGTCCCTTGACAAGAACAAAGCCTAAGGCTCCTTTCAAATTTGCATTCCTAACTTCGACTGGAAAGAAAGGATGTGGATACGGGTTTGCTCGACAAAAGTATAATTAAATCTTCAAAATAATTTGCTATCAAATCAACTATTTTAGATATGTTGACGTGACGATAAACAAATACGTTCCTGTCTGTGAAGAAATATGCGGTGCCGTTTCAACCCGAAAGGTTAAACTTGATATCATTTTTTAGATAATAATTATAGTCTAAAAATAATAATTTAGACTTCTATAGAAAAGAACATTGAAAAAAGGATAGGAAATGTTTTTCACACGGCATTTTCAGGAAATGAATGTTTTCACCCGAATCCGTATGCTCTTACTAAGCCAATCAAAAAATCCAAACATCCATTTTCAACGACTTACAATCAGTACCATCATCCAGCCATATTCTTCTACACATCCCCAACGAAAAAGGTTAAACATCAATTCATATTCATTTTTCAATAAGTTACGTTTGGCCGACAGGCTTTATGTATTTTCAATCAATCCATAGAAAGCTATTTTCGTAAAAAAAAAACAGCGTAGACACATACATGGACTATTATTTCTTTTAATCATTCTGGCTTAGTGTTTCAAACTTTTTTAGTGCTCTTAACCCCCACCTTCTCGAACCCTGTGAGAAATTTCTCTTGCCCCCAAAATTTTATTTTAACAATCACTATAACAGTTGGCAAAACGTTTTTGCTTATTCTAAATTTTTTCTTAAAATGTTAGAAAGATTTTTTTTCAGACTTTATGTTTTAGCAAGCAATGTCGCAACAGGAATCCATCGCTTGCCTTCATGCTATCTCGTCACCTAAACATCAAGTCTTTGTAATTTTCCAAACTTCTACCCTGAATTTGAGTTTTTTATCACTTGTAACTGTAAATTTAACATAACGTTGTATGTTACTAATTGGATATGATACGAGCAAAGTTGAAAGTTGGTGAGAACGGTGGATGGTCTCGACGGTCCCTCAAGCGGTTTAAAAGTATCAAAGATTGATTGAATATATGTCTTTCGATTTTTGTGGCTAAATCCATATACAATGACATTGTAGCCGAGTTACATATAAAATCGAAACCATCGTGCTATCTTAAAATATGATTGAATAAATGTCTAATTTTTCTTTAACTATTTCGGCGTCTCAATTTTAAAATTCTTAATATATATTTACAAACTTTAGTTTTATTTGATAACTAGGACGGTGGAATGAAGGCAGGAACGATAAATCCATTCCCGTATTACAACTCTGAGGTGTACCACGATCCAAAGTTATTCCCACTGAGATATAAAGAAATAACAAACTCGTCAAACAATATTTACATGCCCACATCATTTCCTAAATCTGTTGTCCAACCTTCAATTCTTCAGACTAATTTGAACAAGTAACGTTTTATTTTTGTATATTTTCTCAAACAGAAAAAAATGTAGGTATTATTAAAAATATTGCAGAAAGCTCAACGTCGATAATTACAAGTGCTTAGAATCAGTAACGGGTTTTCAAGATTACCCTTGCTAGACACAACTCAGAGGTGTCATTTTCAAGTGGTACGGGGCAATCATAATTATTTAATTTGTTATTATTATATTTTTGTATGTAATCTTTATATTAATAATTCAGACCGTGAAAAAGGGAATATTGAGAAAATATTGAAGGATTTTCTATAAAATATAGTAATAGAGTAAACGGATTATAAGACAGGTAGCACCTAAAGAATGTTGAAAAAAATTCCCGATGTCAGTGTTTTGCCATCTTCCCCACTTTCATACTTGAAGTAACAAACATGTTCCAACATTTCTTACCTGAAACTTGAGAAACATTCATTGATTGGATTGTTTTATTTTTAAAATATATTCATTTATCAGAAATACATAGTTGATTTTTATTAAAAGAATAAACCAGCTTATGACAGCTTAAATCACGCCAAAAACTTGCATTATTTATTAAAAAATTTACAAGCAGACTCGTTAACCCCTGATAATTTTATTTTCAGGATCCCATTTTTAGGCATATTCCACATTTTTAGTTTCTTATTAAATGCAGCGTCTTTTAATAAAGATTGCCTGTGAGAATGCATTAAAAATCCGTTACACCAGCTGATCCGTAATCGCAAATGAAAGATTAGTTTTCCTCAAATCAGCCACTCTATAAGTCTATATTCGAATAAAAACGCATTAAGTAGGAGCTGAACTACCTGATTTCAACGTTAACATGGAAGCACTTGCTTCATATCGTTCTAGTGGTAAAAGCTACCTGCATTATCATAAACTCGCGAAGCCAAAACTGCTTTGCTTCCAGTAAATCTCATTGGGTAGAGTACCGTGGGAAAAAACTTGTGAAAAAACATGCACGGACAAGCTATAGCAACCCGCATTTCGGTTCAATTCTATTATATTATAGAATTTTCACCACGAAAGCATGCGGGGTGGCAACAACTTCCTGAATTATGTCAAGATTATTCATTAAAAGATATGTAGCTGCATCGTGCAAGAACTTAAATTGCAAACCTGAGATTGGCATAGAATGGCTTTTGCATTATTTGCACACATACCCACCTCCCATTTCTCGATAAATGGTTGCTTCCAAACGAACGACATGAAGTCGACGCTCGGGTCCGACTCACGATTATGAGAATTACAAATAAAATCTAATAAACTTTAATTAAATGCCAATAAAAAACCTAACAGGAATGTAAAAGTACAAAAAAAAATGAACACAACAAAAATGCACTTCAATATTGAAAATAAATTACAAATTGAGTCTAAAAAAAGTACAAAAATAAAAAAATTCTAAATTTAAACTAATACTAAACTAAACGTATCATCATGAACGAAGCATGTCATGTGCGCCACTGGAGGAGACCACTTCTAAAACTCCAGTTATCCAGAAGAGTTCGTTCACTGAAAAACTAATTAAGATTTTGGCCACAAGAATAAATAACAAAACAAATAAAACAAAATTGTAAAAATGCAAACAAAAGAAAACACGGACCATCGAAAAAATTGCAATGAGCAACGCCACGTGCAATAAATTTGCGAGTGGGAATTTGGATTGAAACGGATCATTCAGTAATCAAAGAAAACATCATCATATATTTATATGAAGACCATCGTGATTAAACTCATCATTACGATCCGCCATTTATTAAACGTCAATCATTTGAAAAAAATAGCACTTCTAAATAAGCATTTCGCGACAACAAAGATAAAGCGTGGAACAAAACCTCGAGCAAATGAACGATGAACGGAAATCATTGATATTTATATAAAACAAAGAACAATATTTTTCTTTACATAGATAAAATTAATATTCAAATGGTATAAGTTTTTGCAAAAACTGCCTTATAATAAATATTATTTTACAAAATAATATTATTAAAATAATAATATTAAATACACTAGTAAAAAAATTTGCTCATTTATTCTGTAAAAAATTTTTAACAAAAACTAAAAGTATTCTACAAGGAATTACATTTTATATTTTTAAAAGTAAAGCAGATGTGATAAGATTTTCGTGCTATAATATTGTTCTTGTTTTATTTTTGTGTTATATTAGCCTGGACTCAAATTAATAATTTCATCGGTAATATCGAATGATTAAATATCTCTAATAAATGAGTTTACGTTGGGCCTTCAACAGTGGGCAATGGCAGCCTACAATGGAGCAATTTGTGACTGCCCTGTCCATGATACAACAGGAAGAGAGGAAGAAAGTGTCAGGTTACCTCTTCAAAAGGGATGTCAAGTCAGCACTGGTCACAATTCATCATTTATTTTATTTAATATTTGTTTAAATTAACATTTATTTTTAATTTTTTATTAATCAACTATTGCCCTATTATTTTTTATAAATTTTATTCAATTAATTATTAATTTAACAATCTGTCAGTTTTTTAATTAAAAGTAATTTTTTTTATTATTTTTTCTATCAGGTAACTTTTGCATTGAACTTATTATTTTATTTGAATTAATTAATTCAAGACAGGGAGACTGATGATCAGGGCAGCTGTCAGAAAAGCATTAAGCTTAAAAAATGTAGACATCAAACTCCAAAGGACAGACAATGGTCGACCATTTCTGGAACAAACCTCTGGCACAAACAGCAATTTTGATTTTAACATATCCCACCAGGATGAATTAGTCGTGCTAGCTAGTGAGTTTCACGGCAGAATTGGAGTTGACACAATGGCAATTGACAGACCAAGTGTGTTGTTTAGCTTCTTGATTAGGCAAATGAACATTGATCCTTACTTTGTTAAACCAATGAACATTATTATCACTTTGTTAAATGAATAAGCAGTGTCCATTTCTTCTAATGTTACATAATCTTCGTCAGTTGGAAGTAAATCACTTGACAAATTTTTTGAAACCATGAAGAGACAATTTAAAATGAATGAGTGGAAGTTTATCAAATCTGCTCCTTGTGACAAAAGCAAACTTTTCAATTTTTTAAGACTTTGGGTGAGTGACTGGATTGAATTTAACCTATCAAAATTTTTCATTCTTTAAATTTTTATTTTCAGTGCATGAAAGAAAGTTATGTGAAAGCATTAGGAGATGGAATAGGATTCCAATTATCCAGAATAGAATGCTGTGTTGACACGAATGCCACATTTTCAGACCAGCAAAAAATATCAAATCCTCATGATTCAAACTGTGAAACTAAATGTTACAATGATGAACATGAAGAAATTTTTGATTACAACCCTAAAAGTGCTAAATGCAGTAAAAATATTCAAAGTGGGGATGATATTGATTATGAACAGAATAAATTTGAGTACAAGATTAATGGAGAGTCTCCATCAAAATTGTTATCATCGACGTCGTATGTTAAAGTAGATGGAGTGAAAGTTGATGGTTGCATATTTGAAGAATATCTCTTGATGCAAAAATATTTGGTTTCCGTGGCTGTGAGTTTCTTTTCATAATAACATTTCTTAACTGGGTATATCCAGATATACATACATATACGCAATTCAATTTATCATTTATTAAATATATTATACAGTGCTCATTCGATGTATTCGATCTTCTCACATTTTGGCGTTTTTTCAAGATGACTTGAATGTAAACTTGTTTCGATCAATATTTATAATTAAAATATATTGATATGAATCTCTAATTAGAAACTGCTCAATGAGAACGTGGCCAAGAAGAGAGATATGAATTTGATGGATGAAAACTTTACATTCAAAATGCTGGCCATTGAAGATCTATTGGACAGCTGTGCTGCAGGTCAAGATTCAACAGATATTGTTAGGAACTCTTTAGATCGAAAAACATTTAAAGATATTCAAATTAAGTATCAAAATGAGTGGATGAATTATCAAATAAAAGAAGATAAACCTTAACAAAAACAAATTTAATTGTTTTTAATTTTGTATATATATGGCGTACAGAGTTCGGATGAAATATGACCGACTTCGGGTGGAAATTTCTGATTCCACTCCCGACTCCGGATTCTGACTCCCAGAAAAATTTGTCAACATTTTGCACCATAATTTCACTTTATTATCACTAGTAAATATAAAATACTGTTAAAACCGCGGAAATTATAAATTGCGCTATATGATTAATTTTAATTATTATCTTGATTATTTGTTATCTTTGGTATATTTTTAATTTTTGGATTGTGAGAATTCTTCCTTCTTGTACCTTATCCTTTCCTCCACAAAACCCGATTTTTAACACTTTGCAGTAGTTGAAACGTGGTGATATTCAAGAAGTGACACAAAGATTTCACGAATTTTATTCGTTGTTGACCGCGATCTCTTTTCCCTGCAATCTTCCAGTAGTTGTTAGATTTTCCATTCTTTCCTTCCGCATGATGTGACTAAAAAAACTTCAACTGCCCCCGTCGGATTATCTGTAGTAATTTCCTCTTCACAACCGGACTGTTTTAATACATCCTCATTCGAAGTATGAGAGGTCCAGCTAATTTTCATAATTCTTCTCAAAAACCACATCTCAGTAATGTTAATTTTTTTTCCATTTCTTTAGAAATTGTCCAGGACTCAGAGCCGTTAGTTAGCACATGAAAAATGTAACACCCTAACAGTTTTAATTTTGTTGATATTCTGGTTTTACTGCTGCGGTAAAGATGTTTTTCATATTGTGAGAATATTTGGCATGTTAGCGGGTGAACCGTAAGGTTTTGGCAACGAGGTTTGAAGCGAAATCGTAAATGTGGTTTATGTAGTTACTTAGATTAGTTTATTGTTTCTATTATTGTTGGCATTCAAATAAACGTTCAACAAAGTTTGCGTTTGAAGCAGTTGTGTTCATTTATCGGAAATCTTGAACCTACGGAATAACGAACACTGGACGATCGTTGGAAGCTACAACGCTGGTGTTGGAAATATAGAAATCATTGAAGTTATATAACATTGGTGCTGGTAGTAACGAGCGTTAAAGTTTACAACAATACTTTGAAAACACTTAAAATCAGTCAATGTAATTATTTTTCGAAGTAAAATTACTGTATTTTTTTATGTTTTAAAACATACTGAACAAAAATTTCAACTTTTGGTCCATGATTTCACCATTTCATCACTACTGAAAAGAAAATACTTTAAAAGACACTTAAAATAATTCAATGTAATTATTTTTCTTAGTAAAGTTACATTATTTGCACGTTTTAAAACATATTGAATGAAAAATGATTTTAATCACATTATTAATAGCATTTATTTCCAGTAGATGTATTTTTAATAGATGTTTTATTGTCCCCTCAAAAAAATCCGACTCCGGTCAAAATCTCTGACAAAATCTAGTGGCATAATGTTTAAAAATTGATAAATTTTTGTTTTATAGTGTATGTAGCTGGTAGGAAAGCTTGATCATCAAATGTAAGGAAAAAGATTGAGAAAGGAAATTAAATTATAGATAAAATGTTCCAGAATAGTCAGAATAGAATAGAACAGCGCCCCTCAATGAATTTTCCAAACAGATGGGTCTTGAGATCCGCTCTGAACTCTTTTCTTAACTCGTGTTAAACACTCTTTTGCCAAATCTGCTTTTGCTTTTTCTGGTCCTTTTCTCTGGAACTCTCTACCTACTTCTCTGACTACTTCTCCATCACTTGCTAAGTTCAGAGCGGATCTCAAGACCCATCTGTTTTCAAAATTCATTGAGGAGCGCTGTTGAACATCGCGGAAATAGCGCTTTATAAGCTAATTGATTGATTGATTGCACCGGCAAAGAAGCAGTAGATCATGATGATGAACGAAAATGATGAAAAACCTTATTCTTCTCCAAGTAATGGAGAAGTAGTTAGAGAAAGAGTTAAAGAGTTCCAGAAAAAAGGCCAGAAAAAGCAAACGCAGATTTAGCATAAGAGTGTTTAACAGTAGTTAAAAAGTGAGAACGAGAAGACGATCGTAAACCGAGGCGTTTAAATTCAATTATCTAATAAGTACTTAAAGAATAATTTATATTGAGACTTGTGCATTAATGTGCAAGTTTTAAAAATTATTCTATATTTTATAAATAGCCAATGCAAGATAACAAGATTTGGAGATATATGAGAACAGATAGGGACACGAGAAACTAAACGAGCAGCTTTACTTAAAGGATAGAGTGTAGAATCAGGATGGCCATAGTAGAGCGAGTTACAATAATCAATCCTAGATAAGACTATTGAAGTAACAAGTAAGAGAAGAGTAGGATTGTCAAGAAGAGTTTAAAGGTTTTTTTTATTCTAAGTAGATGAAAGTAAGAACTTTTAGCAGCACTATTAATTTGAGAAGAAAGAGACATGCTAGAATTAAAGATAAAGCTTATACTACGAGAGAAAAATCAAGAGTTTTAGAATCAGATAAGCTAATAGAAGGAATAGTAAAAGAGCGTTTAGATTTATTTGAGCATCACCAATCGCCGATCCGACAATATTGTACATTTCTTCACTCCATCTCTCTACGTATATTTAAATAACTTTAAAAAATGAAGTTTTCATTAATAATTTAGTAAAATGTTAAAATGTCCTTTGTTCGTAAATGAAAGAACACACACACACAGACACACACACACACACACACATATATATATATATATATATATATAGAGAGAGAGAGAGAGAGAGAGAAAGAGAAGAAAGATAAGCTAAAAGCGGCGCTCTGTGAGCATCAGCAGAAGAAACCCGTGTTTTTTGCTGGTTTGGTGCAATATTTGCTATAATGCCCGACGCCGTGACAGTTCGTACATCTCACCGTTTCTCCGAATTTTAGCTGCTGTTCCAAAGGTTTGTTCTCATCGGAAAGCCAGTGCAATTTATTCGTTTCATTGGCCTCACCGTTGCAAGAGGCATCGTAGTTTCTGTTCGAGTTTCGATTGCTGCTGCTCGACAGAGGCGGAAAGTTATCGTCGTCATCAGCAGTTACATTGGTGAGGTTTCCTAATGAAGTATTTGATAGAGAAGCAGACACCGCACTCCCCTGTTGTTGTTTTTTCGCATTCTTTTTGCTTTTAGGACCGTAATGTTCATCGACGCCTTTATCTTTTTTCGGCGTTAGTTTATAAAAAGCCCACTTAACATTTTTTTCATTATAGCTCAGATCAAATGTACCAAGTTCTGTTTGCCCATCAATTGTTGTTGAATTGTTGTTGTCACATTTATCGTTTGGTTTCAAAACATCTTGCGTGATCATCTTCTCATTTCCCAACTTCTTTTCTACATCACTTCTAATTGAAGAGGCAACATCATGTGAATTGGATTCATCTGCTGAGCTTGCGGAAGGCGTTTGTATAAAAAATGATCTGTTGTCTTTTTTCGTTACTTGATGATATTTTGTTTCCAATGATTTTGCATCATTGTCCACTTCACTGTTATAGTAGCCATTGGCCGATGAGCAGCTAGAATCATTTGCATTATCAACTGAAGAAGGAGGTGGTTTGCTTGGTGAGGTGACATCTGGTTCCGCGCATTTCAATGGCTGCCTCTTTTCCGTGTTACTGTGATCACTGTTGCTTTCATAATTTCCATCATCCTTTTCCTCCTTCTCATCTTCCTTATCATTCTCATCATCGTGACTTTGTTGGTGGTAAGTTTTCAAGGGTGCAACATTTTTTAGCTTGACACGATCAGACAGTGAGGAACCGCTTCTACTTCCATCCGTTGAACTGTCCATCAACATAGCGCAAAAGCCTGGCATGCAACTGAACTCTCCTGATTTGGAAATGGCTCTGGAATTTTTTACATCTTTCGTTTGAGTAACTCCCGAATTTCGTTGAACAGTTGTGGCCGTCGACAATGTAGTTGGTTTTGTTGCTGTTGACGATCTTGTTGTTGTAGCTGTCGGATGACACCAAACATTTTGGAGCATTGGAGGAGAATAAGATTTTTCATCATTCAGAAATCGTTCATCATCACGATCTACTGCTTCTTTGCTTCCCGTAGAGGTGATTCCGACGTCTGTTTCGCCATCAGTTTGTGTCAGTGCATGTCTACCTACATTTTTCCAATCATGTTAATTTATAAATTTAATAAACCGTAACGATTTAACAAATGATTAGAATGAGTGGAGAATTTCAAATTTAAAAAAAAAACTAACGTTTATAGAACTTATCGAAAGTTGTAATCAGTGCATACAATTCTTCTTTGATTTCCCTGTTAGCAGGTTTACAGAAACAAATCAACGTTACATTTCTAATCAAATATCATTACACACAACACCATTATTTAAATTATTTACTAATTTGATCAGTCACCCACTCACTTTCTTACTCAATCACTCACTCACTCACTCATCCACTCACTCACGCCTTAACTCACTTCTTCACTCACACAATCAATCAATCAATCAATCATCGTTTAGCGCCTAGAGACCCAGTTCTCCCGAGGTAGGACGTTCACTCAATAATACTCTTACACACAACACAATTATTTATATTATTTACTAATTTGATCAGTCACTCACTTTGTTACTCACTCACTCACTCACTCACGCGTTCATTCACTCCTTCACTCATTCACTTAACCGGAAACCAAATAACGAGGCTTGGCTTACATTTTGAAGTTCTGGTAGAACATAGCCATCTTGAGAAGCTCGACAACATCTAGCACCTTCTTCATCACAGCATCATTAACTCGTACGTCACCATCAAAATGAAGTTCCATAAAATCGGCGATGAACTTACACGCACACATCACTGGCAATGATGATGAGGATGGAGGTGATGATGGCGAACTGGCCCTATCTCCGCTATTTTCCACCTTGTTTGTTTGCTGTCGTCATCATCATCATCGTTGTTGTTATCACATTGACGTCACGGTCAACGTCACGTGATCACTATTACAATTACTATCATCATCATCGTGATCATCGAAATTCATAATCGTCATCACCATCATCATCACCAAAGTTCACAATCATCATCATCATCATCAAAATTCACAATCGTCATCACCACCACCATCATCATCAGCATCATTAACCACTTTTTTGAGCGCTCGCGAGAACTGTGTGACAACGTCAGACATAAGAAGTGCACGACTAGGAGAAAAAACAAAATTTATCATCATCATTATTATTATTATTACCATTATTATTACTGTTATTATTATTATTATTATTACTACTACTATTATTCACCATCAATTATTTTTGGTTTTATTGGTTTTCTCTGAATAATAAGAGTTTACATAATTTTATTTTGTATTTTAAAGTGGAAAATGAATTTTATTGGAGATTCATTAGATATTATTTATTATTAAAAATTTAATTATTATATTATATATTATTAGAGATTTAATTACTATACTATTTTTATTATTATATTATATGTAATTATATCATTATACATTTCTGGAGATTTTATTATATCATATTATTATTATATATTGTTAGAGATTTCATTATCATATGATATTATTATTATTTTATTATATTATTATTGTTATTATTATATTATATTAATTATTATTATTATATTAAGTTATTATTAAATATTATTACAGATATATTAGCGATTTCTAAGAGAGTCATTAGAATATATACAGACGGTTTTCTGGGCAGTCTCCAAGATCTGCAGGCCAGTGACTCGTAAATGAACCAGAGTACTTGGGTGAAATTCCGCATTCCAGCCCCATCTTCACCCAGACCCTAATTTAAATCGAAAATTTTTTCCTCCATCTATTAGCATCTTCTTTTGGTGTATGCAAAAAATCAAAGTTGATAATATGAGAGGAGAAACAAATTGGCACTTCAGCACGCTTATCTTATCAATCAATTCTGATATTAACGTTGAAGACCCGACCATCTGACTGTGAGTTCTTCATCTTGCATAACAACCGTCACCATCATAACTCTCACCACACCACCACCATCACCATCGTGGTTGTCATTATTACCATCATCATCACTCATCACCACAACATCATCACTACTTGCGCCAACGTGACAGTGTATTCGTCATAAACTTCGTCGTTATCATCCCATTCCATCTTCATCATCATCATCAAAATTATCTTCATCATCGTCATCATCATCACAATCATCTTCATCATCATTATCACATTCATCGTCATCATCATCATCACAATCATCTTATCTTCATCATCACAATCATCTTCATCGTCATCATCATCATCATCATAATCATTTTATCTTCATCATCACAATCATCTTATCTTCATCATCACAATCATCTTATCTTCATCATCACAATCATCTTCAGCAACGTCATCATCATCACATTCATCATCATCACAATCATCTTCATCATCATTATCACAATCATCGTCATCATCATCATCACATTCATCTTCATCGTCATCATCATCATCATCATCATCATAATAATTTTATCTTCATCATCACAATCATCTTATCTTCATCATCACAATCATCTTATCTTCATCATCACAATCATCTTATCTTCATCATCACAATCATCTTCAGCAACGTCATCATCATCACATTCATCATCATCACAATCATCTTCATCATCATTATCACAATCATCGTCATCATCATCATCACATTCATCTTCATCGTCATCACATTCATCTTCACCGTCATCATCATCATCATCATCATCATAATAATTTTATCTTCATCATCACAATCATCTTATCTTCATCATCACAATCATCTTATCTTCATCATCACAATCATCTTATCTTCATCATCACAATCATCTTCAGCAACGTCATCATCATCACATTCATCATCATCACAATCATCTTCATCATCATTATCACAATCATCGTCATCATCATCATCACATTCATCTTCATCGTCATCACATTCATCTTCACCGTCATCATCATCATCATTATCACAATCATCTTATCTTCATCATCACAATCATCTTATCTTCATCATCACAATCATCTTATCTTCATCATCACAATCCGCTGTCATCGTCGCCACCAGAGGCATAAAAATAGACAAATGTACTTACGTCAAAGAGTCCATGCCCGACAACTTTGAGGCTTTCACTGAGCGCTGATGCAAAATTTTCAGTCACTAAACGAAGTCAATAAATTGAATTTTTTATGAAAATTAAATGAAGTTGAAAAAAATCCTTAATTGATTGATTGGTTGATTGACTGGTTGATTGATTGGTTGGTTGGTTGGTTAGTTGATTGAGCGATCATTACATAACAGGAAAAAAGAAAAACTTTCACAGTTAGAAGCGAGATTAAAAAAGCAGGGGAGAGAGAGATGCACCAACTAGATAACGCTTCCAGTCCATAAAAGCATGACGAGAGTGATTTACTACTGACTGATTCCTCCGC